ACATTCTAAAGGCATATCAATATAGTAAAACTTAGTGTAATAACAAATAGAGTAAAGTATGATAATCATTCATAAATGGCTTATTTGTATAAATGTTAAGAATTCATTTTGGGGGAAAAGAATAAGTTCGTTAATTTAGCGATTTCTCGTCAGACAAGTCCTGCCTTTCTCCCGAACACAGGTAAGCTTGGTGCTGGTATTGAAAATCGAGTTTTACGGTGATGTTAACGATTAAAATACTTAATAAGTGTGTTAACGTAATTGTTAAATCTCTTTTTATTGATTTATGCTAATTCAGACGAGTCCTGCCCTCCTCCCGAAAACAGAGAGACAGAAATGATTTAGAAAATTCGGCAAGAGCAACAGCCATAATGCTTTGTTTGCGAGAGAAAATTTATTATTTAGTTAATTTAGTGGTCCGTGGATACAGTAACGGAAGTAGTCGCAGGTGAACAGTTCCGGTGGTATCAGCGAATAGACTGAGAAGGATATTATTTATTAGAGGGAAGTGTAAGAGAGGAATGTTGTATGAAAGATGAAAGGAAGGGAAATGATTGGCTTATGTCCTAGGAAAAAACATGGAAAGAACACATGATTCTGCCTCACGTATATTCCTATTGTGTTTATTAATATGTTATTGATACACCATTTGTAGGGAAAGGGAGGGTATAAAATTAACCTAAGGTACGAAATGAATCATTTGAGAATATTGCTTATTTAAATTATCATGTTATTTGCTAAGATTCCCAGAATGATATATATATATACATATATACATATATATGTACATTATTATGTATATATGTATATATATATATATATATGTATATATATGATATATGTATCTATGTATATATATATTATATATATATATATATATAATATATATATATATATATATATATATAAGGAAGCTGAAAACAAGAGAAAGGAATAAGGAAGAAGAAAAATCAAAAATTGTAAAGAAAATAACAAATTAATAAATCCTGCAAAGAAATGTCTACGAGGAAGCAGAAAGGCGCTGTCGTAGCGGTCGCCAAACACAACGAAGTCGATGTTTGTAGTAATTAGCGGCAGGTTCGTCTGGGCCGAGAAGCGCTCCTGCTGGCGACGCTGAAGGAGCAGGGGCGGGAGGGGACGGGGCGGCCTCAGACCCGCGCCCTGGGGAACCTTCTCCGTCCTTTGATCGCGAGATAGGGTGCTCGGCAGGGGGGTGGGTCCGCATTCTTGTTGCTTCTGCTTCTCTGTCTCTCACCCCCTCTCTCTCTTTCTCTCTCTCTATCATCCCCTCTTCCTCTCTTTCTCTTTCTCCCCCCGTCCGCTCTCTCTCTCTCTCTCTCTCTCTCTC